TTGAAGTTGTGCTCATTTTTCAAAAAAAAAAAATAAATAAATAAATAAAAATAAAAAAATTATTTTTACGCAACAATCTAGTGTATATCATATAATACAAATTTCAAGCAGCTTATGTGTCGCTTCACCATAATTTCACTTCCTTACTTCTCTGCCATTTCATGCTTAAATACTGGCAAGTAATGTTTGGCGACTTCAAACTTTGCCACTACACGCGCTGAATGTCCCGACTTAACTACTTACTTTGCCGACACACAAACGCATGTGGGTATAAAAACTTACTGCGTTGCCTACATGCAGGCGCTAAGCGTCCACGAACTGGTAAGTAATTACTGCAACTGTAACTTGGAAATTGCAATTACTTTGCGCTTCGACGGGAGACCAGCGCATCAAAAAATTGTTCAAACTTTAACTCGCTCAGCCCACACATTGAAAGCGTGCTAGCTTTTATGGTTTACCATATACCATAAGTATACCATATATGTATATGTAGAATATCTTGCAACTTTTCCTTGCAATTTGCCATGCTTTCTTGCAACTCTGCGCTGTAAGTGTGCGTGCTACTTCCTTTTCATATAATTTTCCACTAAATAATTGAGTTTTAATTGCTCTGCACGCTTTTCGAAAAATTTTACAACAACATTCGTTGTTGTTGTCGCTGCTACAGACAATTTGCTACCCTCCTTCTGTCTGCCGAACTGTCTGTCTATGCTTGTGCTGCGCATTTTGCTCATTAGGCGCTCGTTTGGCCTATTTTCAGCGCTCACATCACTTGCATACACTTGCATACACTTGCACTTTTACAAATACTCACAGCAACAAGCACGTGTATGCATATGGGTGTGTGTGCGTTTTATTGGCGAATCACCTAAATTTCACTTTAGAAGAGTCACGATTTCGCTGTAACTGCAGCCACAACATTTTTGACAGCAATTATTTTCACTTTATAAATGGTTCGCCGTTATACGCATACATATGTACACACACATACATATATTCTGAAATAAATTGCAATTGGAAATTTTCTGCTTGATTTTTTGCTTTTTTGTTTGTTGTACTCGTGACTGCTCTAATTTATGCAGCGCGGTGAGCGTGTAATTTGTGTCGGAAATACGGTAATTAGTAAGAGTGACACGAAGATGATGGGCATTTTAGATTTTCTGAGTACCACTAAAGAGTGCGCAAATATTTCTGAAATGATTTTGATTGAGCTTACTAACTTTAAGTTAGTTTAAGTTTGTGATTTCGTGCTCGTTATGGGTATGAATCTGAGAGAGTTAAAAACAAAAAAAAAAAAAAAAAAAAAAAAAAAAAAAAAAAAAAAAAAAAAAAAAAAAAAAAAAAAAAAAAAAAAAAAAAAAAGATTTTAATTACTTGCACGATATGAATTTTAAGATGTTTTCGGAAAATTAATTGTTCTTAACGCTTCAAACACACATTAAAAAATAGTAAACTGCTTCCAACAGCGTTAGAAATCTCATTGAACTTGTGGAACCCCTCTCAACATGCTCATTTTGAAACAACTACAAAAGTACTTTCTTTTTCAATACAAAACGAGTAAAGGTTTATCTACACATTAACGAAGATTCTACACATTAGGACAGCAGTGCAAGGTATAAGTGGCAACATTTTCTGCTATAAGAGTTTAGAAGCTTTGTGGCTGGCACAGGAAGAATTATGGACACAGTGATATGCTAAACTAGCTCTATACAAATCTAAATAAATCTGCAATTAAATTTTCTAAATTCTAAAAGCCATTGCATTTCAGTAGTTACTTCCAGGTGAGAATACACTTCAAAAATGAATGGGTAAGAGTTTTAGTGGGTAGAAGAATACTACCTCTATCTGTACCAAAATGGACTGCATTGTAAAGTCGGAGGTATATACATACCCAAAGAATCTTTATCTCCTATCCTTCCGTTTATCAAACTTAGCTAACATCTTCCAAGTGGAAGTAGTAGGCATAGAGAAGGCCTGCAGAGTTCTACGGAATAACCACGAGAGAATACAAAAATAGATTACTTACAGAGGCAGGCAGTCGGTATTTTTGGAGGAAAGTTCTAGACTTCCTCTCTGAGTGTCGAGCTCTATCACATACCAGATATTATCGTCTTTTAATCCATCAGATTGACTATTTCTGTAAAAATCATAGCGGAGATATATAATATCATTGAGGGCAATTGGTTTAATCACAAAAATGAATCATGCCATTAAGTTACGAAGATAGAACGATAGTATCGGAAGGAATAGTGCCTATGATTTTGAAAGATCATTTGAGCCTACAGAAAGTGAAAGCACGATTGATTCCAAAATCACTTAATTTTTCCTAAAAATACTGCCGTGTCTGTGAAACAATGCTTTCTGACTACCAAATTGTCACGAAACGTATTATCACTGGTGATAATTTTTGGATCTATGCTTACGGCCCGGAAACACAAGATCAACCGGCCGAATATCGTCACAAAGGTGAGCCGATTCCGAAAAAACCGCGACAAAGCAGTTCAAAAATCAAGGTTAAGCTTACAGTTTTCTTCCTATTTGAGGTGTCGTGCAGTCTGAATTCCTTTCGACCTGCCGAACTGTCAACAAGGATAAATATTTAAGTCTTATAGAAGTATTCAAAAGGTAATATCGCAAATGGCATTGTTAGAATTTCAGTCGTTATTAAAATCGATTTTCTACGTAGCTTGTAATTTCCATTGGCATCAAGAAACGTTACTGAACTTGTGAAACACTTCAATATAATTTCATGTTTGAATGTAGTAACGAATAAGTCGTAGAGAAAAGTTACCGTTACATCAAAATTTATGTGATGGATGATAGATAATAGTATAAAAATATATATTGTAATATATTATATTATTAATATTTTCCTGGAACAAAATTGCACTTTTTGGAAGCTTTGTTTTAGTCAACACTAACACAAAGCGGAAAAATAAATTTTTATCGATTTTGTGGTCACAATTTTTGTGATAATTAATTCAAGTTAGTATGATGTGTGCTTAGAAATATTGAAATAGTAGTGTTTTCTACTTAGAATACTATGGTGCAATGAAATGTCTTAAATAAAACACTTTAATGAGCACTGATAAATTCCGAAATATTTTTGTATTACATACTGTATATATGCAGTACATAGTATATGTATATACAATTTTTATTGATTCATTTTCAAAACAGTTTTTTTATAGGAAAATTAAACTATTTGGAAAAAGTTTTAAAGGTCCTTTTTGGTTTTTGCTACAATATTTATATTTTTTCACTGTTTGCAAGAAAATTTGTATTTTTTAGCTAAACAAACACTATTTTTAAGCGAATATAAAAATTTAGTATAAATATATTTCAGAATTCCTCGTGATTTGTTTAATTTGTTTAAGAAAATTGATACGAAATCTTTTCTGTATTGCAGAGTGAATGTTTTTCAGTGTACATTTATATATAAATGCTGTTACTGATGCATCTGATTTTAGGTGAATACAGCAACAACCTTCTAATGGCAGTAACAAAATGAATTTTCTAAAACATGCTAAGTTTATTGCGGTGCTAATTCAACAAAAAATGTAGACTTTAATATTGTAAAGCTAAATGCTAATTTTTTTTATTTAGTTTATAGAAAATAAAATAAATTCTTTGTGTA